TCTCTCTCTCTCTGTCTCTCTGTCTCTGTCTCTATCGGTGACTTTCTGCCCCCACTTCCAGGTGAGTGTGTCCCACCCCAGTCGAGCCCTAGAGATAGCACGCGTGCCTCCATCGCTTCGCTTGGGCCATCGCTAGTTGTTCAACATTTGTTTGACATTTTCAAGTACTCCGGCTCCGGGGATTCGTTGGAAAATAGATCAGCAATCTGTGCAAACAGAGCCCGTGTCGAAGCAGAACCACCCAGCGGCACTTCTTAGATGTCCGGACAAACAACTAACTGAAGAAGGCCAGAAGCTCCGAAGAGTCTGAAAACTGCATGCAGGGTCCGCGATTTGATTCTTTCTCCAATTCTTCCAATTCTACCAATTCGATCGGGCCCCGAGTGCCACTTATCGGTGTGGATCGGCTCTAGAGGAGGCAAGACGGAATAGTGTGCAGTGCACAGTGTACACAGACCTTTACTTATCGCCTGAATAAGCCCGATAAGCCCGTAGAAGTGGACAGAGACGACTGCCAACGGTGCTCCCCCAAAATCAAAGCAATAAGCGAATGAATATACAATCGAATCGCTTCGAGCTGCGAGTATTTCCGTGCGCGTCCGCTCTACGCCCGATGTCAGCCACACAACCTTCCCAGCTCATCCCAAATGGATCGGTTCGGAGTATACAGCTTTCCCCTTGCAGATGTGATAGGGTATCTGGCTGATAGGGAGCCAGAAGAACCGACGGAACGGAACGGAACTGGACTCTCCTACAGCGGGAGATAAGTTAACTAATCGCGGCCATTATTGTTGAAAATTGACATATCGCGGATTAGATCGCTCTATAATGACACTCCTGCCAATGTGTATACTACAGGTATGTATATATGTATGTATGTATGCATATGCATATGCATTTGGAAGTGGATCCGACGTGAATAGCCTCTTAAAATAGCCAAAATACTCGTAACTCTCTGAGATTGGCCTCATTGTCAGCGCCTCGATTATAATTATCTTTGCCACAAAAAACCCTAGCAGATAATTCAGCTAAAATTAGATGCTTACTTGATCGCCGGTCGTGACTCACTGGGAGGGGGAATGGGAACTGCCCGGCAACATGTCGAGGTTGGCTTAGCTCTACAATTACCGCACCTGTCATCAGATTCGCCATACACGGCAGTCGATTGCGACGGCCAGGGTATATTAATTTCCATTCTAGCTGTAGAGGGTATCCCTCTGTCGAAATATATGTACACACACTCTGTGTCTCGCAGTTGTTGTCGCTTCTGATTTGCGGTTGACTCGACTGGCCAGCAAAAAGCATAAATCAAAAATGCAGACAATGTTCGGGCATGATTGAAAGGTAAATACTGCATAAATGTGGATGTGGGGTGAGAAGGGATCGCAGCGCGAAGCCAGACAAAGGGGACTTCTCTGCAGCGCAGCCTTAGTGCCAGCCACCTGCTGGGACCACCTGTTTAGATATACCACGGACAAAGGAGCCAGCACAGAACAGAACCGGGACAATGAGCATAGCGATGTGGAAAATAATCAGTGATAAAATAAAAGCATGAAACGAATCGCCATCAAAAGGGGTTGCAGTTGAGGGTGGGTGGACGTGGCATGAGGCAGAGGCATGAGGCGGAGGCTGAAAGGAAAATTTTTGCATTATGCCTCGGATTCATGATAATAGGCCTCATTTATCGCTGCAAGGGGGAGAAGGGCTTCTGGATCGGGGACCTTGTACCAATAAACTCATAAAAGTCACTCGCTCCGCATCCTCCTCCACCTCCTCCTCCTGCCACCCATTCACACATATCAGCAGACGAAAGAAGACACTTTTTAGAACACAGTTTCTGTTTCTGTTTCATGTTTTTTGTGGCCTTATCAACTGATATATTCGGTGGGACTTGTACGCGGGGTTCCTGGGGTTCCTGGGGTTCCTGGGGTGCCGTGTACCTTGTTAACGGTGGAACAAATGCAAACAAAGTGTTGCCGTCTCAATGGGCAATTCTTGTAGCAGGCCGATAACCAGTAGAGAACATCGCACCTAAGATACACGCTCACATGAGAATCGGAAACACAGCGCGAAGAATGCACGCGTTGCGTATTTACAGATACTGAGATACTGAGATACTTAGATACTTAGATACTGAGATACAAACCCAGAGGAACCTAATCAACGTTCAAGGTATCGACTGAAATGCTCTTCAAATATTTACACACCCGCAGCAAAGAGCTGCCCCCCCCTGCTACACCAGCTTCAGCTCCAGCTCCAGCTCCAAACGCAGACCCAGACCCAGACGCGGACGCGGACCCGGGCCGATAAGCGGGAGCGGACATGGGCCCGCTAATTGCGGAATGATAAAAACAAAGAAGTTGCTAACCGTAACCGTAACCGTAACGGCAACCACTCCACCCCACACCGCCGCAGTGCCAGACCACGCAGGAGAGCCGCAGGGCGAGACACGCAAATGTTCTATCAACTGCGTTGCCGTTGCCATTTCAAAGATTTCAGCCTCCGAAAAGAGAATTAAATAAAATAAAATAAGTATCCCTGTACGTTTTGTTATTGCCAGCATTTTCGACTCGTATTTGCCTAAACCGGCCCCAGAGGAATAGGAATAGGAATAGAAAGAGGAATGCCAGTACCACGTTGCTAGCCAACCAACAGGGAGGCGGAGGTTGGGTCTGGTTCGGTCTGGTCTGGTCTGGGCTGTTCTCCGGGTTGTTGGCAGCTTTGAGCATATTACATAAAATAAGAAAAATTATGATTTTCACTTCTAGAAGAGCGAGGGCGAGGACGAGCATGAGGACCAGAAAGAGAGCCATGGATAAGGGGGATAACACGGAGAAGAATTGGGGGAATCGGGTGAATTGGGGGACGGAACTCGTTGGAGAAGTGGGGCCTGAGCCAGGCTGTTGCTTAACTGTCAAAACCGTGTAATTTAATAAAGTTCGCTGCGGGATATTGTTTTTTATGGAAGCCAGCGCAGTGTAGAGACAGCGACAGCTTTTGCCAGCTGCCAAATGGGGAGTGGCTGCCAAGTGGTGGTACTCCGGCTGGGGCATGGCATGGGAGTCTGTGACTCCTCAAAGTGTGCTGCACAAATACTGAAATTTGAGTTACATATAACACTGCAACAACGCGATGTTGTCTTTTGTGCCTGCCACAGGCACCCCACAGGCACCCCACCTTCACGCCCCCTTCACCGCCCCCACAGCACACACACACACATAAGCACATAAATATTCGTCTGTGCGAATACTGGTATATGTATGTATGTACACATATAGGGAGGGGGGGGGGGGGTAATGTTTGTGTACCCCTCTTGTTTACTCCGGAAAAAGCAAAGCAGCGAAAGCGAAAAAGTTTTTACGTTGAAGTATCGCAACATTTTCGGGCTGTGGCAATTCCGAAGTGAAGGTCTGAGACCTTTTCAAGTGACAATAATGAAACCAACTTGACTGAAAAGGAACTGGGAGCTCTACCCTTACCCTATCCAGTCTAGTTTTCCGATGAAGTGGAGTCTAGAAACCTCTTCTTATGCTATCCGAAAGAGACAGTGCGTTCCATTACTATGTGGACTGTGTGGATAAAAGATTGGGCAATGTTCGAACTCAGGTATTGGAGAGCTGAAGCATAAAATGATTTTGATTAATTTCAACTATAAAATGCTTTTCTTCCCGTGCCTGTCATCAGTTCCCCTTAATTACCGTCAGCAAACAATTGCCAATTGACAATTTAAATGGGCCAAGTGATCCCTTTAAAGACCTCTTGAGTGTTTCATTATACGTTCCCTTTGGCATTATCCTCTCTGCCAGTGCAATGCTGAAATGCTATTATTAATATGAAATTATAAATGAATATTCGTTTAAGTTCAAAGTGTAGTGTATAACGATGCAACGGAGAGGGAACTGCCATGTTTTCTATTCGTATCTTTTGTATCAAGCCAAATTCCAATTTTATTGTATTAAGCATAGGAAAAATATACAAAAGTAAACAGTTGACTGCCAAAAACACACATTTGTAAGTATGTATGTTGTGCACATCCCCCGTGAGTAAAAAAAAGTATGAGAAAAGCGTAAAAGAAAACTCTCCCCAATCCGCAATCCGCAATCTCCTATCCCCACGCCCACACATTTCCAGCGTCATATGAACGCCCCATTATTTACTTAACATAACTTGAACATTCGCCCTCCCTCCAGCCCCAAAAAAAACAAGCTGCCGAGTTTCCCTCAATGCGGGAAGAGCCAGACCTAGCCAAAAACACACACACACACACACACACACACAGAAAGCGAAAGAAAATAAAGAACTGACAGAATTTTGGGAGTAAAAAGGGGACGAAGAACGAGAAGGAGAAAGAGAAAGAGAAAGGGAAGGAGGCGTAGAGAGCGTGGAATCTGCCAAGTTTTACCTGCCAGCCAGAAGTCGGCTAGTCAAAAAGCTGTCGTCGATGCTAAGCGCAGCCCCAGATGCCATCAAATATGCAGGAGGGCGCATCGCATCCCCGAATCCCGAAAAATGGCGAAAAAATGATTTATGTGGACGCCATAAGGAAGGAAGGAAGGAAGGAAGAAAGAAAATATCAGCCAACAGCCAACAATAACCAGGAAAAAATAACAGAATCAACTGATTTCTCAACTTGGCTCTGGGTCCGCTTTTGCTTGCCAGCGCCATTGAAGAGAGTAACGGAGACCGAGGATAGGATGGGCCCAGCCCGACCCGGCCCGGCCCGGCACTCGGATGCGAATGTACGGGCTTCTTTCACGGTATGGCGCTGTGCCCTGCTGCCATGAGAAATGTCCAAAGTGTGCTCAACCGACAGCGGAGGTCTCCAAAGGTATTGGGGTCATGCAAGCCATGAGATATGGACGTCCCTAGGGCAAAACCTTTTCTAGGCTTAAAGCCTAGGATATCTGAAACATAGCTCGAGCCCTTGAATACTGAATGAGTTACGGATTCACCTTGGAGCCTGAGAGCCCACAAAATCGTAACATGCCGTGCCTATACTGTCTCGAATCTAAACTTTGTTCACAGTAGATCGAAAACACTTTGAGCTCATGTTTAGAACTCGATCACGGGAAGTTTATTTGGACCACAGCTAAAGCGTATAACGGTGAGATGGCGTGCAGATTTGTGTATCTTTAGAGTATCCAAACCAGATTAGCCCTCACCGCAATCCCACAGATGTCCGATATTAACTTGGCTGCCTTCAACGCTTTTCGACGGGACCTGGCCCGCATACAAAAGACTTTCAGCTCGTATACACAAACGGATTTCACGCACGAGGTTGGGACAAGCACCGATTCGGAGTAAAGCCACCAGTAAATAGGTGACCCAAAGAATACGGTCAAGTGGGATGGATACCTCTCCTGGGGCCAAGGCTAAAGCGTCAAAAAGCTCCGGCTCGAGCCAGAGAAATAATTATCCCAGCGAATGGACGGACGAGATGAAAGCGGCCCTGGAGATCAAGCTTGAACCGCGACGGACGCCGTCCGAGACTAGTATGCAGCCGAGCTACACTTCCCATCACTCGTCGTCACGCTCCCAACCCGATGAGCGGGAGGAGGCGAACGAATCACTTCACAGCGAAGACCTGATGGGCAGCTCCTCGCGCCACTCAGCGGACCAGTTAGCCACCAGTCGGACGAGCAGCATCAGCACCATCGGCAGTGCCCATCTGCCGACGACAGACCCCCAGACGTCTGACTACACCACAGAGAGCAGCTACCGAACCGAGTCGGAGGACGACTCCAGTCTGGACAGCGACTCTTATGGCAGTGCCCAGACTAGCTTCGGACGAGCACCCACCAATTTCCTACGCGAAATCCATGTGGCAATCGACCCGACAGCCACTGCGGCACAGGTCGAATCGGTACGCCGGGATCTGCGCCAACTTCTGGCATGCGAGATGGGTATGATCCGTCACTCGGCGGCTAGAGGCAGTGGAGAAGTCATCTATCTAATCGCCTACCACTACATGTAGGACATATGTACATATAGGCCGCGACTTTCTCGAGTCGAGTTTCAATAGACATTCCAAATTCCCAATGCCATAACGAGTGTTTGCTTTGCTGGTCGTGATCTCGCCTGTTGACATTACGACAAATTATGTGAGCTGAGGGCGAGAAATGCTGAACCCCTCCTAGAAAGGAAGGAAACAACAAACCAGAAACGGATACGCTTAGCTTGCTCTGGGAGTGGGGTGGGTTTGCTTCGCTTCACTCCGTGGGTGGGGGTGGTGGTGGGGGTAGGGGTGGCTGGCATTCCCGTTAATAGGAAAGCCACACAAGAACGGCTAACGAAGGACACGCGGCCAACGGTTGAGCGACAAGTGCGACGGGGCTGGCCTGGCCTGGCCTAGCGTCCCGAAATGGGGTGGGTGGGTGGCTCGGTTGGATGTTTGCTCAGCGTTAAGTGCACAGGGTCCGTCCGAACGTCTCCACAGGCAAGTGGAAATGATAAACATATTTACACAATTTTTGACAGGCCCAAGAGAAAGCCGAACGGGTGAAGCTGAAACAGAACACCCGTGGGTGCAGCCAGCGAGCGTTCGAGTACGCACTTGAAACGGGGGATGGGATGGGAAGGGAAAGAAAAGAACCAAACCCAAACTCGATAAATATGTTTATGTGCAAATAACAAAATATTTGTCGATTGCCCGAACCAGAAGACCGCGCACAGGATGGGGTAGAAAGAAGCACCGCAAGCGCATAATTCAATTTTTCTGCTCGTTTTTGCACGTCGCCCAGCGCACGTCACTCAACTCCACTGGGACTGAAACTAGGACTAAGACTGGGACCGGCTGGATCCCTCAATGTTGCTCGGTGCACGCACTCGGCCACGGCTGCATCCCGTACATATTAGTGACACGTGGCGGAGGCGAGGCCGAGGCCGAGGGATGTGGCACATGCGGTTTCGGGCACTGCACTGTTATTTATTTGTCTGTAATTACGCGTGTTCCAAACAAAATCCCGCCGCACTTGAAGTCGGATTCGGATTCGGGATCGGAGATGGAGATGGAACCATCAGCTGGGCCTGCTCTTTTCCAGGCCGCCTGCGACACGTGCAGCGAGCGGCTCTCCAGGCTCAGCTGGGAATACGAATACCATACCCTGCGTATTAGGAACAATGCCAGGGACATTTGGAGTTTGTCAACAGTTTCGGCTTTTGGATTTGGTTACAGCTTTTGTCGATGTCAACGGCGCGTGTCTCTATCTGAGTCGCCCAGCAATCCACTCCACTTCAGTCGTCAACTTTGTGGACTGGCTTTTAGCCCGGGGATTGTCAATTGATTTGGCGTGGGATCTTCGTGTGTGTGTGAAACGAAATCATAAATGCGACATGAAGTGGAGCGAAGCTCTAAGTCCAAGGAGTTGCAAGAAGTTCCTTTGGCCGGCAAAGCTTAGCCATGATAAATCATCTCTAAAAACTTTCTCGCAAGCGAAAGAAAAACAGTTTCCAAGTTACGGACACGCTCGTATATTACTGTCCCCCCGGACCATATTTCAACCAGCTCATCTGAACGGGGGAAAAGCCGAGCTGCAAGATAGGAAAGCCCAGACAGCCGCAACATTCAGCATCAGCATCCCTAAAAGAGCATTTGAAATGAGCTCCTAAGAGTGGGATGGTGATGGCGATGGCGATGGCGGTGTCCCACCAGGAAAGCTCACGTATTTAATTGAAAAACACTTAAGCTGCCTCGGTCTGAACATGTAAATGTTATGCAAGGCATAAGCCAGAGCAACCGCAAGGCCCCCTCCCCTCCCGCTCACATGAGCCGCTTTCAACGTGTCTCAATCAAAGTGAGGGCCCCCCCCCTCAAGGCCCTCAAGCCTTGCTGGAACCTGGCTCCTGGCTTTTGCTGTGACCTTTTTGTGGTTCATAAAAACAAAGAGCGGAAAACAAAAACTTTGCATAATTAAAGCCTGCACAATTCTTAGACAAAGCCCAAATCCTTTCGGACAGAGAGAAGATATGACGGAGACGGCATGACTGGCCCGGGCTTGACTTGACTTACCCTCGAGCGCACGATTCCTTGAAATTAAGGCGAGCACCAGTTCAGGATTTGGGTCATCATGGTCGACAGCCAGATGATTGTGCTGGCCGCCTACCAGGTGCGATGCCTGCGGCGTGGGTGGCAATTGTTGCTGCTGCTGTTGCGGCTGATGGATATGCGGCGGATGTTGCTGATGATTATCCATGGCTGTCAGGTGCTGGGGAAGCTGCTGTTGTGGGTGGTGGTGATGTAGCGGCGGCGGCGGTTTCAGGGTTTGCATCATTGCTAAGACCAAATGCATGCACAGCAATAGGCAATGGTACTGGGTGGGGGATTGGCACACGCGTCGTATGAGTGATATTTGAATTCAAAGAAATTATTACACAATAATATCCCCCAATCCACCAGGCTGCTCTCTCTCAATATATTCTCCCTGTAGAGGCTTCACTCGCGACTCGCTAACCGTGAAACGAGGCACCGTTAGCCAACCGCCAGCTAGCTATAGACGGAGACGCTGTATAACTGCTGCTGGCACACCGCCGTCTCACGGCTCCGTCGTGGTTTCTTCTTATCGCGGCGGTTTCTTTTCGATTCGATTTGGGTTCTGTTGTTCGTTGTGTTCGGTTCGGCTGAGACGCTATAGCGTTCGTGTGCTCTTTCGACTACATACCAGTGCATCGGCTCTATCAGTTGAGCAGCGCGGAGCTTCAACGGTGGCGAACAACTTAAATTTGTTTACGCATCGTAGGATGGAGACACTAGACACTAGGACTAGCGCAAACAGATATACATACAATGTAAATAAAATACTCAGCTCGTGACGACTTGGCTTTAATTTAAGGTTATTTTGTCATCTATTTCTGCATTAAGTGCACAAATTTCATATTTTATTATAAACTAAATATTCTATGTAGGTGCAGGCAGACATCAATTCTATTTTCCCATACATTTAAACTACCAATCTACGAGTACAAGCAATCCTCGTACGTACGTACGTCACCTAAAAGCAATTCAATAAAATTATATTAAATACTTCATCACATTCTTAGCTAATGAAATCTGCTCTGCCGGAATGCTACCCAAGAAAGAAAATCTGGAAGCTCCTACTTGTTCCTTGACAATCTCCTAACCGATGTTTTTCATCGCTGGCCGCAAAGTCTGAAAATCTGTGATTGATAATAAATATTCCATCCGACTCTAATCTACACTCGACGAATATTCCCTTTCATTCAGCTGTCTACGATTCCTTTGGGAAGGAATTGCGACGCAAAATTAACCTTAAGCTACTAAGAAAGAAACTCCATCTAAGTAGACACGAAGAATGGTGTAAATAAATTAAAATTACGTTGTAGTTATTTTCATTTGAGGCGACTTTTGCAACGACCCTTTTGGTTCAGGAGTTCGTCTCCGCACTTTCACACTTAATTTCAGGACATGTAGTTTTCCACAATTGAGTTTATATGTAGTTTTTACTTTTTCCTTCTTTTTATATTATTTTCCATTGGACTCCACTTCAAAGCAAGATAATTTTTTGCGAGAACCACGACGGCGATAGCGACGGCGAGGACCACAACGAACTCGACGGAAACGACGGCAAATGCGAAACGACAAAATGGCGACGGCACTGTCAGTGCAGGGCTAACGGTTAACTTTTAACGGTACCAGCGGCACGACAGAGCATGGCAACACTGTCTGAGCAGCCAGCGGTCGCCTGCGTTGTTGGCGACGCTTTTTGCTGTTGCTGATGCTCTTGCTTTTGCTTTTACTGTTGTTTTTTGTTGTTTCGCTCTTCTTCTATTTGCCGCGCTGCATCTTTATTTATTTCCCTCTGTGCGTGCTTCTTTCGCCTTCTTTCTCTGTTTCTTCTTCGTTGCTTTTTTGCGCACTTTTCGACGCTTTTGTTGCCGCGCCGCGCCGCCCCGCTGTGCTCCCGTTTCGGACTATGCGAGTTGTCTTTATTTGACTTTTCACGATACTTTTTATACCGCTTGGCTTTTGGGTGCGTGCCCCCACACATATGTCTCTATGCATTTGTGTATCAGTGTACAATACGAATACGTCTCCCAATTGATCTTAATATGACGCAAATGATATGGTTAAATATGGTGCGATACGGAGCGGGACACGAGGCGCGCTGCATAAGAACAATGACAGCAGCGACGCCAACAGCGAAGGCGATGACATTTTTATGCTTGTTTTTTGGCCATGCGCATATCCTGTGTCCCCCCCAATTCCTGGGGTGGGCACATTGTAGTGAGCATTAAAATATTTGTAAAACGTAAAAACTTTACCCCGAAAACAAAAATATGTTTTGCCCCCAAGAATTCCACGCTGCTGCTGCTGCTGCTACTTCACTGCTGCAGAGCATCCCGCTGAAGAAAAAAGGAAAATGATAATTTTGCTGAAGCAACAACGAGAACAACAAGAAAAACCAACGTTGGGCGACACCTTCGTGGCCCCAAAACAACAGTAAACAGCACTTAAAAGTCAGAGGCAGCGACTGCGACTGCGACGTCGGCAGAACGAACAAATATGAGAAACGAAACTTAACTCGACTCAAAAGTCCAAGTCAATACGCGCGGTCACTGGCAACAAAAGCAACAAAAGCAACAAAAGATACAAAACTGCAAAAGCTACAACAACCAGCTTCCAGGGGAAAACAAGCGCCGCCCCTTTATATTGAAAGCATTGGAAATCGCTGATAAGCAACAGCAACAATGCAGAGACGTGTTTGGACATGCGCAAGAACTACCGCTATCTTATCGTCGACCCAGCGTCGCCATTAAACAGTCAGGTTGGTTGGATGGGTGGCGAGTGGGCTGCGAGTGGGTGGGTGTGTCTGCCAGTGTATCTGTGTGTGTGTGTGTGTGTCTTCTATTTCTAGGGTTAAAGTCGTTCCAGCGCAGGCGCACTGTCACTTGAAAACACACACACTCGCACTCACATAAAGGGAGAGAGACGAGGAAGAAACTGAACTGGAAGCACTCTGTACCGTGGCTGCGTTTGCTGTATCTGCAAAGGGTCCTCCAGTCGCCGCCTGCTCGCTCCGTCCCAGAGGTCCTGCGTCTGCAAAACGATTTTGTTTTCGAATTTATTTATGAGCCGCTTAGAGCGCGCCAAATACTTTGCCAAACACTTTGAACCCCGAGCCAAAGCCAAAGCCCAACCCCAGCACCAGCTCCAGCCCCAATCCCAGTCAGCAACACAACAAAAACAAAATGGACACCAGAGGAAGGTCGTTCTAGGGGTTGGGCGGTAAACAGCTGGCTGCGAGTGCACGGGGCGATTGACAAGTAATGTCCTTCTTCTTTTAGTGCAAATCAATGGCCAAAAAAATAACCCAACAAATAAGTATTATTTCTGTTATATTAAACGCTGGCGATAGATAGTCAAAAAAATCGAACCGACCTTTTCTGGTAGATTTGGGACTTTAAAAGTGTTTAATAAATTATGTTTTTTTTTCTAAGCAGAGTTTTTTCGTTTTAATTTAAACAAAATTGTATTGTTTTAATGATTTTTTTACATGTAATGCTTTTTTCATTACATATGAACATTGCGATTCTGAAAAGCTGAAGAATGCAGCTATAAATTGGACCTGACCACTTTGTAGCTTCAGCTTACCGTCTGGGAAACTTTAAGCTCTCAAAGGTAAAATTGTTATTTTTTTACTAAATATTTATTTAGTGAAGGAAAATTGTAATAGATATTCCATTTGCCTGTTTTTTTCATTTTTAAACGTTGTATCTTTTATATAATAAACATTTCACAAATAACTACATATGTATCTGCCAGATCTGTAACATCACAGACAGCATCTAGATGTACGCAAAGAAGCGCGAATTAACTTATGCATTAATTAGTATGCATACAATCCATGGAGCTATAAAACGCTTACATCCTTTCTTCTGTTGCATACATCCACAAGAATACAGCATACCCTTGAACTCTGCAAGTACCGGGTACAAAAATATAGGCTAACAACGAAGCACAAAACGCATCGTGACCCTGAAATGGAATGAATGTCTGATGAAATGCATCCAACATTCAGTCCGATGCAATACGGGCCAATACCATGTGATCTATCCACACCAGACTGCAAGTTTATGCGCTTCCGCAGAGGGGCTGCGGTCTGCGCTTACAAAATCGACGTTGACTTTCAAATATTTTAGGGCTTTGTTGTGCAGCAGCAGCGACTCAGGTGTTGGCCATCTAATGGAGCTGTTAATGGTTAACCACGTCAAATATTTTGCCAAATGAGCTGGGCCTGGGGCCGTCAATTGTTGCTGACACGATGATATGGAACCGGATTGGGAGAGACACAACACAGTAAGCAGTCCGAGAAAATGAATAGTTTGATGATGATGACAATGGCTGGTAATGCTCGGCGTAGCAGCGTAGACTGTTGCCTATTGTCTTTATTCAACAATTAAAGTCCACTTCATTTAACTTTTCTTCGACGTTTTTCACTTTTGTCTGCCATGTGTCTTGACGTCGTTTTCTGTCGCAGTTACATAAACATAAATCTCGGCAATGGGCCAGCCGCCGCACTGCCCAAAACAAAAACTTGCTGCCAGTGCACATTTTCACACATAGCCGGATTTTTATTAACCATTTTTCATTCGCTTTTACGGAGCAGCAGCGGCCTACGCGACGCTCGAATTTCGGATCTCATGGAAGCTCGGCTTGGTTAAAGCGCAGCCAGCTCATTTGTAGACTCGAATGTCAGCGGTGCACAAGCTCGGAACGGAACTAAGACAGCGGCTGTCAATCAAAAACAAACCTCTCTGAAGATCGTGCTAGACTATCGCTCCCAGCCAGGATATTCCATTCATCGCCATGGACTTTGACGAGTTCCGCGAATTCGGCCACGCCTCCATTGAGTTTATTATCAACTATCTGAGTGGGATTCGGGAGAGGTGTGTGGTCGTTCGTCCGTGTGTTCGGCCAATGGTGATGAGAGGGCTTATACAAAATCTTATTTTCCGTATCCCATAGAGATGTCCTGCCCAGCGTCGCTCCGTATACAGTGATCAATCAGCTGCCCAAGGAAATCCCAGAAAAGCCTGAGCATTGGCGCGAGGTGCTGAAAGACCTGGAAAGTATCATCCTGCCCGGACTGACTCATTGGCAGTCTCCGTATTTCAATGCCTTCTTTCCATCCTCCTCGTCGGCAGGATCAATCGTTGGAGAACTACTGATTGCGGGCATTGGAGTCTTAGGCTTTAGTTGGGTAAGAGAAACCTAAGATGGTTTCAAAATGTTTTGCACCATTACTTACTTATTTTGATTCGATTTGAATCAAACAGTCAACGAGTCGACTCAATAGATTTAAAGAAACCCCACTTTTGAAACCTATTGTCAATGTATGAGATATGTAGATTACAAGTGCATGAATGCTGTAAGTTAAGAGCGTACCTGAAAGAGAGCGGAGCGTCGGTTGGGCTAAAAGAGACGGCCAACCAATCTTTAGTTAAGAGCGCAGCCCAAAGAGCGCAAAGAGCAGGTGAAAAGAGCGAAGCTGAATTAAATGTTGTCGTTCTCATGGAATTCAAAGATGTTTCATTACAACTCTGAAAAAAATCAGCAAGAGACCCTTTAATATAACGATCTACCTGGTTGGAAGATTATAGCTTAGCCAACTTAATGATAATTAAGGGAATTGCCAACTAATTGTTTTTCTATAGTCATGCCCCACGCATTATATGATCGTCATAAATCCACGATCGGCCCGATTATCGTTCCCTAATCTCCCCCCAGCGATTAGATCCGCACCGTGGCACCGTGACACCGTGACAACGTCCCACTGTGCATGGCTTTCAGAGAGTCAGGTGCGCTACCTGAGCCAACCGGCTGCACAGTCTATAAAAGCCGCTGGTCATCGCAGTGCGGCTTCACATTGAACTTCAGGCTACGTAGTGAAGCATCACCGGTGATTTTCGTTTTTGCACAGTGTAAACAAACCGAACCGAAAGCAAAAAGCCAGAACAAACAGAACGTGAAAAGTGCAAATAGAAACCGAGATATCGACTCAGCCAGAGAGGAAGAGGGAGATAGTAACGCTATGGATGCCAAGGAGTTTCGGGAATTTGGCAAGGCGGCAGTCGACTTTGTGGCCGACTATCTGGAGAACATACGCGACCATGAGGTTTTGCCCTCTGTGGAGCCTGGCTATCTCTTGGATCTCTTGCCCAAACAGATGCCCGAGGGGCCTGAACCTTGGACCGAGGTGCTGAGCGACATTAATCGCGTGATCAAGCCAGGCATCACCCACTGGCAGTCGCCCAATATGCACGGCTACTATCCCACCAGCACATCCTATCCCTCCATTGTGGGTGAGATGCTGGCCAGTGGGTTCGGCATCATCGGCTTCAGCTGGGTAGGTCAGACGGTCAACGGCCAACGACCACAATGTGCGGAGAAATCTCATTGTTTTGGTCAGCTGAAGGGGCGCCCATTGTATGGAGAGTGAAAGTGGGACCGAGAACTCGATAAACAGGTTATGGCAGCAGCAGATCGAAGATCGAAGAGAGTTCATTTAAATCAATCGCGAATTGTCACTTGTTCAAATTGTGAAGATGAAACTTTGCCTTGGCCGAACAATGGACCACAATCTGTTCACTCTTTGTGTACCCTTCAAGATTTAGGGTGGATTAGGGTGGAGCTATTATCTACAAATGAATCAATCTGTGCTCCGTCCGATTGTTGCTCTCATTTGGAATGACAACTCAGTAAAATGTTCCACCGAATCATATTCTTCCTTTGACATTGGATTACGTCTACATCATCATATTTTCTGCACTGATTTCAAGCCACTTTTCTCTTTGCCATCTTTCCCAGATTTGCAGTCCCGCCTGTACTGAGCTTGAAGTGGTGGTCATGGACTGGCTGGCCAAGTTCCTCAAGCTTCCCGAGCACTTCCAGCATGCCAGCGACGGGCCTGGCGGTGGTGTGATTCAGGGCTCCGCGAGTGAAGCCGTTCTGGTAGCCGTTCTGGCCGCCCGGGAGCAGGCAGTGATCAGCTGCAAGGAGACGCATCCCGAACTGAGTGAGAGCGAGGTGCGAGGCAAGTTAATCGCCTACTCCTCCGACCAGAGCAACAGTTGCATCGAGAAGGCGGGAGTGCTGGCGGCCATGCCCATTAAGTTGCTGCCGACTGGCGATGATCTGATCCTGCGGGGCGATACGCTGGCGAAGGCAATCGAGGACGATGTGGCAGCTGGACTGATACCGGTCATATGTGTTGCCACCTTGGGCACCACAGGGACGTGCGCCTATGACGACATCGATTCGCTGGCCGATGTCTGTCAGACCTTGAAAGTGTGGCTTCACGTGGATGCAGCCTATGCAGGGGGCGGCTTTGCCCTTGAAGAGTGCGCGGAGCTGCGCAGGGGACTAGATCGCGTGGACTCGCTGAACTTCAACCTGCACAAGTTCATGCTAGTTAATTTCGACTGCTCGGCTATGTGGCTGAAGGACGCCAATAAGGTAGTGGACAGCTTCAACGTGGACCGCATCTACCTGAAGCACAAGCACGAGGGCCAATCTCAAATACCAGACTTTCGCCACTGGCAGATCCCTCTGGGCCGCCGTTTCCGTGCCCTCAAGGTGTGGATTACATTCCGAACTCTTGGCGCCGAGGGACTGCGCAGTCATGTACGCAAGCACATCGCGCTGGCCCAACAGTTCGAGGAATTTGTAAAGAACGACTCGCGTTTCGAAATGGTTGCCCCCCAAGCACTGGGGCTGGTCTGCTTCCGTCCCAGGGGTGACAATGAACACACCGCTCAGCTTCTTCAACGACTCATGGAGCGCAAAAAGATCTACATGGTGAAGGCCGAGCATGCGGGACGCCAGTTCCTCAGATTTGCCGTCTGCGGCATGGATGCAAAGCCCTCCGACATTGAGTTTGCCTGGACAGAGATCGAGACGCAGCTGACGGCCCTCCTGGCTGAGAAATCGCTGGCTGCTCGGAAAACCCGGCAATGTTTCCGATCTGACGCATCACTTTCAGATGCATCTGGCCAGTGATAGCGGGACCCACGAGAAGTCGCAGTGACGACAATAGCGCCCGATTCCTATACAATTGAACTATTTATGTTTAGGATGTCCTTAGTTTGTTTTGTAGTTATTAGAAATAAATTCAATTTACATTTGAAAATAACGAGCATTTCTCTTGTGAATAATGCAGTTGAACATGGACAGAATCCCGAAAGTACCGTGGAAGGGGAGGAAAAGATCTTGATAATATCTATAGATTTTTAATTTAGTGCACTTTAAATATTTGGCGGTAAATATCTGATATCGATATACGTTAATATCGCCAGAGCTGCCAGATCGCTTAGTAAATCTAATATTGTCCAAATCAGTGTTGCCTGGCCTTAGCTGGTTTTGTGGGAATCAAAACAAAAATAGCTATGTTAAGGGCCATTATGACATTAGACTTGCAGTGAGAGCGAGAGAAACATATGCGTCAGCTTGTCTCTCCAGTCGAGCTGGCCGATTGTTGAACTTTGTATTATTGTCTCTCATGATATCTCTCTTTTTGCAGCAAAGCCATCAAAGTCTAATGTTATTAAGGCTATAAACAATTTTTTTATATATTCATAAACTTTTGCATTATATTTAGGGTTGAAGCATTTTTTATGGCGTGAAACCCATATGTTTAAATAAAATGTATGTCAAATATAAATAGCAATAAAATAACTGCTCTATGGAGATAGTCTTTTCTGTTATATTGTCGTTGCTCATACCTTATCCTTGCGGCGCAATTAAAAGTTCAAGGATTGAAACTTCCAACTTACTCTAATTTATAACTAGTGTGGTCTAGGAATGGTGCCAATTATATCTGTAGTCAAAAATTTATTGTAAAAATAAAAGAACTTTCGGCCCAGGTTTTGTGGAATATTTAGTATTTACAACTCTACGCACGATTTGTTTAAAACAAATATCCTTCTACATATGAGGGAACTCGCGATATTTGTAAGAGAAGCTAAATTAGACTTTTAATCTCGCATCGTTAAAACACATCGAATGTAATTGTGTATACAACCACTAACCATACAGTACTGTATGGTTAGTGATACAACATATCAACTTAGTTTCTTGGCTTGGAAGTTTTCTTTTTGGCAAATTACTCATCTCTACGAGAATTAGCTTTACTCATCTCTGTGAATACAGTAAAATCGATAGTGTCTCGCACATATCCATACATCGTTTCTGGCTCTTTTACACCAGACCATGGTACAACTATAAAAGGTAGTCCCATCGCGAGAGCTGCTCTCTTTTGAGGACGGTATTTTAGCAGTATACAACAACAGTCAAAGAGTGCTATCTCTTTCTAGCGCATGTCTCTCGTGCGTGGTGAATAAGCTGGTGGTCCTCCACTCAGCTGACGACGTCACCTATTAGTAATTTCACCATGCAACGGACCAACCATTCGCTCTCAAATCGTGGTGGTTTTTCAATATTTTCTCTCTTTTTCGAGGTGAAGAGAGCGCTTTTGTGGTGACTTTCCCCTCTTTTTCGTGGTGTGAGCCGCATGTTCCTAACGGGAACCATATGGAGCGTCGCAACAATGAATCTTCATCGTTATTATTAATGATATGATTTAATCTATTACACTACTCAACAAAATTGAACTTTTTCTTTAGGCTGATAGATTTCGGGATTTAAAATTTTTTGTAGCACTTTATTTTTTTATGGTGTCATTTTTTTTTAAGGAATTTTTAAAATCAGGTATTTTTTTCATGTTTTTTTTCAGAGGTAGTGCTTCTATTTTTCACATAACTTAAGTATCTTACACCTGGTTGCATAGAACTTTGCACTTAGAACTGGAAGATATTAAGCTTTCAATTTCAACTTTCATAATTTTTTGCGGTATTTTTTTTTTTAAATTTCGACTTTAAAAACACGGGAAAAGTCGAAAGAAAAATTATTCTTGGCATGCATTTTTATGAAAAAAAAAACAAAAAAATTATGAAATTTGAATTTGAAAGCCTAATATCTTCCAGGCGTTAATCTGCAGATACAAAAAGTCTGGGTCCGATTTATATCTGCATTTGCCAGCTTTTCAAAACTGCAAATTCCTATGCAACCAGATATAAGATACTTAAGTTATGTGAAAAATACAAGCACTACCTCTGAAAACTAGTATCACATGAGTCTGGAAACCAAATTTGGTTTCTCTAGCTCTTATAGTCTCTGAGGTCCAGGCGCTCATCGAGACGGACAGACGGACACGGCTATTGATGCTGATCAAGAAACGTTTCCTTCTCTGCGTTGCACACATCCACTTTTTCCACAAATACAAGATATATCCCTTAACTCTTTTTTGAGTACGGGTATAAATAACATATTTAAAAAAATTCTTTAAAAAAAAATTAATCCATAATTCGTTAAAAATTTTTAAACCCCGAAATCTATAAGAAAAAGTTATTTTGGGCCACAGCCAAATTGTCGTGTTAACTAGTGTTATCAATGGATATTTTGTTGGTACTCAGCGAACTTGTGAAGCAAAATTTTTTGGGTACAAAAAGATAATATTTATTATTGTATATCAAATACATGTAAAACTTACGCAAGTAGTAGCTTAAAATAATAGTAAAAGTAGGTACAGTAAAATAGTAAATAATAAATTCCTAGTCAGGATCAGTGCCTGGGGTCTGTCAAGCTCACCATAGGGTGCCCATCATCCATCTAAAGATTTAGCAAAAACGCCCTGGCAAACCATTCCGGATAATTTACTGGACCAGAAATGCGCCCCCCGTTGCGTCAAGTCACGTCAAAACAAAAGTGCAAATGGTCGCGTTCAAAGAGTTCTCCAATTTTTATTAAAAATTTTAAAGTTGAAGGTATTTACTTAGTTGTTGTTCTTAAAATTATCTGATTGTTACATTTTGTGTATTTTAGATCGATTAAACCTTGTGTATTTTGTAAACGTATTTTTCATGTTTAGTGGAGTTTAGTTGTGATCCCACAAAATTCAACAATGGGGTTACTGTGTTGTTGGCTTGGTATAATAATGTTAAAATTAGCTCCAGAACTTTTACCAATAAATTCTGAAACGTACTCAAGGTTATGATTTCATCCATTTTGTCATTGGTTTGTTGTTCTTACTTATTTATGTACCCTTATTCATCATTTCAAAAGAGTTAAAGGGGGCCTATATATTTAATATTGTGGTAAAAGTGCCATATTTTTAATCCAGGAGAAGGAAAATTTTGCCGACCCAATGGAAAGTATAAAGAAGCTAGATCAGCGAAACATAGACCGAAAAATATAGAGGCAACATAGTAGGAAATCTGTCGTTCCACCGTTATCAGACTACTTTTGTCTTCCGATCCCTTTATTACAGGCCTAAGGAAATTACCATGCAAATATAACAAATTTAATGAGTCTGCATTAGATTGTTAGAAGAACCGGATTAATTATTATTTCTTCCCTTTTTGACCCCCGCCCGCTATAAAATTACATAACAATTGCAATTGCAATTGTCGCATGGCGCCCCCTATTAGCCCGATTTACCACAAGGGTTACGTAAATCTTTGTGCAGGCACAATATTTAATTGCATTAAAATATAACAAAAAAAGTTTATCGTAGAGAATGCCCATTTCATACCAGGTTTATATGGCAGCAATCTGAACTAGAGTCGGATCGATTTTTATACGCCAGAATAGAAGAAATAAAATAAATACTGTTGCATATGCCCTGCCCATGTGAAGCATCCTGCCAAGCGACATAATTTCTGGACAGAATGTTTCCTTCACGCTCGCACACTCTGCCGCGTTCAGTGCGCGAGACCCCCAACCTCAAGCGGAGGAGATGTAGAATATACATAGTATATGTGGATGTATAAATGATAACACTGTACCAATAAATATGTAAAATGTAAAACTTTTTTTTTTTTTTAAATTATAAATAATTATATGCTCAAAAATGTATATGCTGACTGAGTACGGGTATAAGGAAAATTTTCGCGTCCCCAGAAGCGACTCACATATACGTTCCTTCTCGTTTGGAACGTAGATTAATTGCTGCGACGTTCATAGGGTTCCGTAAGATACATTTGATTTGTATGGGAAAAATTTCAGGAAATGAATTAGCGGCATTGTTGTGCAACTTTTGTAGGAAATGAGCAACAAATCTGAAACCTTGCGAAAATGGATATTATGGACTTGAGATTTGTTTGTAATTTCAGGCTCCAATTAATGCAGAAACAACTCAGTCTCTGTTTTAAAGACATTAACGAATTTTCGCAGCTCGCGGGTACCAATAATAGGTATCAGAACTGGGACAAATGTATTTATAAAACACAAAACATATGCATTAATAGGTAAAAAAACATGTCAATCTAGGATAAAATCATTATTATTAATGATTCAATGGAGCTTGGAACAATAAATTTAGCATCAATTAAAAAAAAAAACCGTATTCAAAGGTACATACGCATAGAAGAAACTTGGTTGACCAGCAACACTGACTCACATTTAGTCAACATTTACGTTTTATGCTTTGGCCGCTTTTGTTTGAACCTTAATATGTAAGCAATCCAATGAAAAATAGTTCTGAAAACTAGCCAATCCTAAACAATATTCATTGAGGAATTGAATAAAACTATTTTTTTAGTGCTGAGAGGGCCATCAATATAGTAATATTAAACTGAATATCAAAATTGACGAATTTCATATCACAAAATATCACGGTATGGCAGCCCGCAGCAACTACGAATTGCAGGAGTCTGGTAGCGCCACAAAACGACGACACATTCGTTTTATGTTGTTTTTGTTTGAACCTTAATATGTAAATAATCCAATAAAAAGGACTTCTAAAAACTAGCCAATCCTAAACCAAATTCATTGAGGAATTGGATAAAATTATTTGTTTAGAGCTGAGAGTCCCAGCTAGCTAGTAATATTAAACGGAATATCAAAATCGAGAACTATCAACGTTGAATGTTTTGAAAAAACAATCGATACTATCGTGATAGCTCTAATAATTATTAAAAAGCCATTGAAACCTTTAAGGAACTTGTCCATTGTAAAAATTAGATGCCACCTGTCGATGATTTGTTTACAAATGTGTCTTCGTATCTTATAGCAGAAAATCCAAACATATTAAAAGCGCAACGACTGTAGCTCGATACTATCATGATAGTCTCAAAACCATCGATAGTAGAGGCTAGCAGCAAAATATCGATACTATCGATAGTGCCCTCGATGGTTTGACACCTACAAAACAAAACAAAAAATTAAGCATCATTGTCGAACAGAATAGGATGCCCGCGGATGTGGCTGATTTAACCATAAGTAAGTACATTTGTTGTTTGCCAAATAACGACACGTGCCAGTCCACGTTGTCAGTATCGGACTGCAATGTGCATCAATATTCATACTTATACGTCCGGTGTTTGCCTCTGTGTGTGTTCCTTCCTGTGCAGGCGCCCTCTTCACCTCTGAGAAGAGTGGCAGCGACGAGTCTGGAGATGGCAGCGAGGCCAAGCCTTATAAGAGCATCTTGCAGGCGATGCGCCATGCCGGCAAGGAGCCGTTCCCGACCATCTACGTGGACAGCAAGGACCCGAACGCCGCGGAGGCTTTTGAGCCTGCTGCCAAGTCCCAGCTGAAAAAGATCCAGAAGCTGTTCGTGCGTGAGGGACACAAGAACGCCGAAAAGCAGCAGCGTGAGGCTGGGGATGCCGAGAAGCGCCAGCAGAACCTTGAGGAGGCGCGCAAGGTTAAGATCTCGGAGGACCCCAGCTGGCCCGTGGCCCGCAAAATCCGCATCATGGAGGGAACCGACAACCGTGGCTCTCGAGTTAAGGTCTATGGCTGGGTGCATCGCCTGCGCCGCCAGGGCAAGGCTCTGATCTTCATCACGCTGAGGGATGGCACTGGGTTCCTGCAGTGCGTGCTCAACGACCAGCTCTGCCAGACGTACGACGCTCTCACCCTGAGCACCGAGAGCACTGTGGTGCTGTTTGGCACCCTGAAGCTGGTCCCGGAGGGCAAGTCCGCACCTGGGGGCCATGAGCTCAATGTTGACTACTGGGAGTTGATTGGACTAGCGCCACCGGGTGGCGCCGACGCTATACTGAACGAGGAGGCGCAGCCGGATGTGCAGCTGGACAACCGGCACATCATGATCCGTGGCGAGAACACCTCCAAGGTGCTTAAGATGCGGTCTGTGGTGATGCAGGCCTTCCGGGCGCACTATTTCGCACGTGGCTACAATGAGGTGACGCCTCCCACATTGGTGCAGACCCAGGTGGAGGGCGGCTCCACGCTGTTCAAGCTTCAATACTTCAGTGAGGAGGCCTATCTCACGCAGAGCTCGCAACTGTATCTGGAGACCTGTCTCCCGGCACTGGGTGATGTCTTCACCATTGCACAGAGCTATCGGGCGGAGCAGAGCCGCACGCGCCGTCATCTGGCCGAGTACACACACATCGAGGCAGAGTGTCCCTTCCTCACATTTGACGACCTTTTGGATCGGCTGGAGGACCTCGTTTGCGACGTGGTCGATCGTGTGCTGAAGTCCCCATGGGGCCATCTTGTAAAGGAGCTGAACCCCGACTTTAAGCCGCCGACGAAGCCCTTCCGCCGCATGAACTATTCCGATGCCATCAAATGGCTGAAGGAGAACAACGTGACCAAGGATGATGGCACTTTCTACGAGTTTGGCGAGGACATTCCAGAGGCTCCCGAGCGCAAGATGACCGATGCCATCAACGAACCCATAATGCTGTGTCGCTTTCCGGCCGAGATCAAATCGTTCTACATGTCGCGCTGCCCGGAGGATAAAACTCTCACCGAAAGCGTAGACGTGCTGCTTCCCAATGTTGGCGAAATCGTCGGCGGGTCCATGAGGATCTTCGACAGCGAGGAGCTGCTCAAGGGCTATCAGCGCGAGGGCATCGACCCCAAGCCCTATTACTGGTACACCGATCAACGCATCTACGGAACGCTGCCTCATGGCGGCTATGGTCTGGGACTGGAGCGCTTCCTCTGCTGGCTGCTCAACCGCTACCACATTCGCGAGGTTTGCCTCTATCCACGTTTCCTCGACAGATGCAAGCCCTAAGCATTTGCTATCCATCTAGCGCCAGCATTTATAAAAATAGTCCTCGAACACGACTATTTTCAGCTTCAGCTCTAATCATAGAAACCTATCTGTATCCAAAATATCCTAAATAAAGGCAGCGCCTATGCTTGATCAGAATGTCCGGTTGCCTGTTTACCGCTCGGTCTCTGGAGCTAGGCGACGACATTCCTTTAACGTCGTACAGCTCAGATCCGGACATCATGATGAAGAAAGGGGAAACATAGTGATAAGGCAATCGAAATCCATTGAAAGACCAGCCCCCAGGAGATAGAAAAGCAGCAAGAATTGCAAAAAAAAAAAGAAAAGCATACAATTAAATAGAAGAATACTTCCGATTCGTTTGGAACACCTTTCTATATTCATCGTCAAAAAGCACTGCCGTCTTGGAGAACTTTCCTGTTCGTCATCACCTCACCCCCTTGTGTTTAAACTTTAAAGTATCCACCGATCAGCAGTATGGATATACTTTCATTTTCGTTTCACTTATGTGTCCCGTGACATAGTTTCAGTTCCCCTTCTCCTGTACACTTAATTGCTTATTATCGGATCAGCTTGTGATATTATCAAATAACTGTTCGATGTCCTTGTCCATGTAGGTCTCGGAGTTGTTCATTGTCTGGGAGTCGTCAAGCTCCATGTCCTCTTCTTGCGTGTCCTCGTCCTCGCCATCGTCGTCCTCATCGGCCTGCGGCACCGCCTCAACCTCAGCCATTAGATGTTCCTTGCGGTAATGGCTGCGCAACAGATCGCTTATTGTGGCACAGACAATTTGTCTCACCTGAGCATCGAAGCTGGGTGGCAGCCATCCGGTGCGTTCGTTGCAAATGGCGCCAGTCAGGGGAGTCGGAATCTTCTCCAGCATATCCTGGATCTTTTGGATGCGGACGTCGCAGTAGCGAAGCATGCACTGTCTGGAGCGAGGCAATTTGTGCTCGTCGAAGTAGGGATAGTCAATGTTCTGGACCAGATCACACTTTGGCTCCTCTGCTCCAGCAGCAGAGGTCATTTTCAGTTTGGCGGACTTCCTGGAGTAGACAAACTCGGAGACGCCAGTGCCAAAGCGCAGGCGAAAGTCAAAGGTCTGGTAGTGGCGGCTGTTGAAATCCTTGCGCGGATCGTATCCATAGCGCACGTACAGCGTTCGCCAGGGTCCGTTGCTGAAGTAAAAGGCTAGCGACGGTATGATGCACTTGAGCTTGTCGGTGCCCACGCCGGACTCGTACAGCAGAGCTATGCGCGTCCATATGGGGCACTCGTCGAATAATTTCTGAACGCGCGCAAATTGTTCATCGGAAACGTACTTCACCTTGAGGCGTTTCAAAATTTGAGCGTCTGCCTGGGTGGGGAAGGTGTCCAGCATGTTGAATGAGATCACGTCATAGCTGTCATACGTTGACTTTGTGAGCACTCCCAGTACCTCCTGCAGGCCATCCTCCGCCCCGTCGATGCGGTAGTTTCCGGTATGGACAAGGTCCACACGGGCAAACAGCTCGGGCAGGCAAAGGAGCTGACTCTGCCCCCGTCTGCAAGAAGCTGCTGTTATTCTGGTTATTCGATTCGGACTGTGACGACTCGGACTCACTTGAAGAACTCCAGGTCGGTCACGCCCGTCGGCTGCGTTTGCTCCAGGGCATACTCGAGCTTCGACGCAGCGAGGCTATTGTCACTCTGCGGCGTGGCCCACAGCGGCAAGTATTGAAAATCACAGAGCGCTAGGATAAACCAAGATTATTAGACGGCTGTCTTGTCAATCTCAGTACGCCAACTCACATTCAAAGGAGAAGCTGCGGCTGCAGTGCCCTAGAACGCGAACAAAATACTGAGGAGGTCGCAGCTTGTCCCGCTTGTGTCGCCGCACAGAGACCGAGAGCAGGACGCCAGTCTTGTCGGTGCAATCGCCAAAGGCGGGCTTATTGTAGGGGTTCTGCGGATGAAAGCGTAGTTTCAGTCGCTTCTCCTCGTCGCCCAAGACCTGGAACAAGCAGATCAGAATGTAAATCCAACTGTGAGCTACTGTGTGACTTACTTTTGAAACGCTGACAATTCCCCCCAAGGTGTCCAGCATACGCTCCGGGTTTACTACACGGCCGGGGTACTCAATCAATTCATATTCCTTGCGGGGATTAAAACTCAACTGTCGCGACATAATTGATTGAAATAAATTGGTTTTTAAAAAATTCTATGCACGCCGCGTCCCATCTTGGACCACCCTCTCTTGCTAACTCCCCCAGCAAACTTCTTAGAGATGCGTCATATCCGAGACCTTGTCGAATACGAATGAATCTATGACATTGGACTTTGCTAACTGACTAGCTACAAATTAAAAATAGCCCTATGGGAAATGCCTGCAGTCAGAGCGAGAGAAATATATGCATCCAGTTGGTTCTATAGTTGGATAGCAAAGTTAGGAAAGTCAAGTCTAGTGTCATAGCATTACGATCAATATGTATTTGGTAAAATGGGCACAAAATTAAATAAACTCAATGCTTTGGCGGTTCGCTTCCAGTATTTAAGAGAATCGTATTTTGCGTTGCATTTCGCTTCTCATCATAATGCAATATCGGCGTGTCACTTTGAACTTATTTTTCCTCAACAAAACTACAAAAATTATAATTTTTTAGCTGTGATTTGGTTGTTTGAAGTCTTTCACATAATTTATAAGTGCGCTTAGTTCATTTCCTAGACTTCGAAATCTTACTTATCTCAATTATCTGAAACATATCGTTCGAAAATAACGATAGTGCCATCGATGGTTTTGCAGCCCTATGCCGGAGCATTGTTTTGATTTTGCGCGTATATAGTTTGTAGGAAAATGTCGGGTAAAAACAGGAAACGTACGGCTGGCAGCAGCAGCAGTGCTGAGGAGCCGGACAGCGAGGAGGAGTCGCGGTTGAAGGACCTGCAGGAGCGAGACGAGTTCGCCAATCGACTGAAGCAGCGCGATGAGGACCGTACACGTAAGGTGGTCGACTCCACGGTGGGTTCCCGCAAGGCTATCGAGGAAGCCACCAAACGCTTGAAGCTGGAGCACGAGGATCGGGACAAGATCGTCCCACACTTGCGCCTGCAGTCGCGACGCCAGTACCTTGAAAAGCGCAAGGATGACAAAGTGGCCGAGTTGGAGGCGGATATTTTGGACGACGAGTATCTCTTCGAGGAGAGCGTGTAAGAGAGCGGCAATGCTTTTTGAGTAGAAGCCAAACCTAATGATCCGTTTCGCTTCACCAGCCTGACCAAGCCCGAGCGGGAAGAGCGCCAGTACAAAAAGCAGCTGTTGAACATCGCCAAGGAACACGAGAAGGCGCGGGAGTTGGAGCGCGTACAGCGCTATCACATGCCGCAGGACATGAAGAAGGGCGAGCGCTGTAAGTCAATATGCAATACGCAAATGCACACTTGATGTTTTTCTCTTTCTCAGCTGAGTATGTCGAGGTGGACGACTTCGAGCGGCAGCCCAATTCCGAGCAAAAGAAATGGGAAGCCGAGCAGTTGGCCTCAGCCCGTTTCCAGTTCGGCGCTAAGGACGTCAAGGCCGAGGAGGAGTATGAGCTGTTGCTGGACGATCAGATTGATTTCATTCAGGCCCTGACGCTCGACGGCAGTCGCGAAAAGTCATCCAGCCGCCAGCCAGAGCTAACGGAAAAAGAGCGCAAACGGCTCACCCTGGACGAGACGCGCCGCTCGCTGCCCGTGTATCCGTTCAAAGAGGATCTCATTGCCGCCGTTAAAGAGCATCAGGTGCTGATCATTGAGGGTGAAACTGGCTCGGGAAAGACGACCCAGGTGCCGCAGTATCTGGTCGATGCGGGCTTTACCAAGGACAAGAAAATGATTGGCTGCACGCAGCCGCGTCGAGTGGCTGCCATGTCTGTGGCGGCCCGCGTAGCCGAGGAGATGGGCGTCAAGCTGGGCAACGAGGTGGGCTACAGCATACGCTTCGAAGACTGCACCTCGGACCGCACCATTCTCAAGTACATGACGGACGGTACGCTGCATCGTGAGTTTCTCTCGGAGCCCGACCTGGCCTCTTACAGTGTGATGATCATTGACGAGGCCCACGAGCGCACTCTGCATACGGACATCCTCTTTGGGCTGGTCAAGGACATTGCTCGCTTCCGGCCAGAGCTCAAGCTGCTTATTTCGAGCGCCACCCTGGACGCGGACAAGTTTTCGGCCTTCTTCGATGATGCGCCGATCTTCCGCATACCCGGACGTCGATATCCGGTGGACATATTCTACACAAAGGCCCCTGAGGCGGACTATATTGATGCCTGCTGCGTTTCTGTGCTTCAGATACACGCCACTCAACCCTTGGGCGATATATTGGTATTTCTGACGGGCCAGGATGAGATCGAAACCTGCCAGGAGGTTCTGCAGGATCGCGTCAAGCGGCTGGGCTCAAAAATCCGCGAGCTGATCGTCATTCCCGTATATGCCAACCTTCCAAGCGACATGCAGGCTAAAATCTTCGAGCCCACGCCCCCGCATGCCCGCAAAGTGATCCTCGCGACGAACATAGCAGAGACCTCCCTGACGATCGACAACATTGTCTATGTGATCGATCCGGGGTTTGCCAAGCAAAACAACTTTAATTCCCGCACCGGCATGGAGTCCCTGATGGTGGTTCCCATTTCAAAAGCATCGGCGAATCAGCGAGCTGGCCGAGCGGGGCGCACAGCGCCCGGCAAATGCTTCCGTCTGTACACGGCATGGGCGTATAAGCACGAGCTGGAGGACAATACGGTGCCGGAGATACAGCGCATTAATCTGGGCAACGCAGTGCTTATGCTCAAGGCCTTGGGCATAAACGATTTGATACATTTTGACTTCTTGGATCCCCCTCCTCACGAGACACTCGTCCTGGCCCTCGAACAGCTATATGCTCTGGGTGCGCTCAATCATCATGGGGAGCTAACCAAGCTAGGTCGGAGAATGGCCGAATTTCCAGTGGATCCCATGATGGGCAAGATGTTGCTGGCGAGCGAAAAGTGAGTACTGACGGCATGTTGCTCCAAGACAAAAACTTTACCTTGATGGGTTTTCCGCAGGTACAAATGTTCTGAGGAGATGGTCACGATTTCCGCAATGCTGTCGGTGAACAGTGCCATCTTCTATCGACCCAAGGACAAGATCATACACGCGGACACGGCCCGCAAGAACTTCAACCACATGCACGGCGACCACCTGAGCCTGCTCCAGGTCTACAATCAGTGGGCGGAGACGGACTACAGCACGCAGTGGTGCTACGAGAACTTCATCCAGTACCGTTCGATGAAGCGGGCACGAGATGTCCGAGAGCAGCTGGTGGGCCTGATGCAGCGCGTCGAGATCGACATGGTCAGCTGCCTGCCGGAGACTATAAATGTGCGCAAGGCGGCCACAGCCGGATATTTCTATCATGTTGCGCGCCTCTCCAAGGGCGGCCACTACAAGACCATCAAGCACAACCAGACGGTTATGATTCATCCGAATTCTTCGCTGTTCGAGGAGCTGCCCCGCTGGGTGCTCTACCATGAGCTGGTCTTCACCTCCAAGGAGTATATGAGGCAGGTTATTGAAATCGAAAGCAAGTGGCTGTTGGAAGTGGCCCCGCACTACTACAAAGCCAAGGAGTTGGAGGACTCGACCAACAAAAAGATGCCTAAGGGGGCTGGGCGAGCCGAAATGACACAATAAATCGTTTGTTTCCTTTCATTTTTTATGTTTGAATTTAACCTATCGATAACAACTGTTTGCTGCTGTTGTGGGGGTTAAACATTTAACAAACATTTTCCTTAAACATTTGCTCAAAACCAAGCTAGTTGGCCCATCTTTTAGCCAATGTTATAGAAAGTTGATTATTTAATCGGATATATTTACGGAAGAGTTGCAAAACGAAGCAAACGAATACCCAGGAATCGCATATATATATTCGTTTGTATATATTGGAATCGTTGAATATCGATAGTGAACGCTTTCGAACTCTTTCATCGATAGTATCCATGTTTGCAGCTCTACACGGCCAAATTCGTGTTTTAAATAAAATTTGTGTATTAATTTGTAAAGATTCACATTAAAAAGTTGTAATTAGTAAGTTCCAATATCTCGCGTCTCGCGAAACTTTAGAATTATGTTATTACGGCATAGAAACATGATCCCTGCACGTTGTCGGTCAACAATGACGTTCTAACCTAAAAAGTTGATGAAATTGATAAGTCTAGTCGGCTTTTTATTTACATACATATACGAATAAATAGCCAACACGTCAAGCCAATAATTTCTTTCTTACTTTTGTTCAGACATGGCTGCACAATTTTTCAATCGCATTGGCCAGATGGGCCTCGGAGTGGCCGTGCTCGGCGGCGTTGTCAATTCCGCATTATATAATGTGGAGGGAGGCCATCGAGCTGTGATTTTCGACCGATTCACCGGCATCAAAGAGCATGTGGTTGGCGAGGGCACGCACTTCTTCATACCGTGGGTGCAGCGCCCCATTATTTTCGACATACGCTCTCAGCCCCGCAACGTTCCAGTCATCACGGGCAGCAAGGATTTGCAGAATGTTAACATTACACTGCGCATCCTGTACCGTCCCATACCCGAACAGCTGCCAAAGATCTACACGATTTTGGGCCAGGACTACGATGAGCGTGTCCTGCCCTCCATTGCCCCTGAGGTGCTGAAGGCAGTCGTCGCTCAATTCGATGCCGGAGAGCTGATTACGCAGCGCGAGGTGAGTTTGGATAGAAACGATAATGGAAGACCTTTGTGCTAACGTTTATGCCTAATCCCCAGATGGTTTCACAGCGCGTATCGCAGGAGCTGACCCTGCGCGCCAATCAGTTCGGCTTCATTCTGGATGACATCTCTCTGACACACTTGACCTTTGGCCGCGAGTTTACGCTGGCCGTTGAGATGAAACAGGTTGCCCAGCAGGAGGCCGAGAAGGCCCGCTTCGTTGTGGAGAAGGCCGAGCAGCAGAAGCTGGCTTCGATCATTTCAGCGGAGGGTGATGCCGCCGCTGCCGGTTTGCTGGCCAAATCGTTTGGCGAGGCTGGTGACGGCCTGGTCGAGCTGCGTCGTATTGAAGCCGCCGAGGACATTGCCTACCAGCTGTCAAGATCCCGCGGCGTTGCCTACTTGCCTAGTGGCCAGAACACGCTCCTGAATCTGCCATCGACCATAGCGCAGTAGCTCGGCGCGTCTAGTTCCGTTAAGTTGTAACTACCTTTAGCATTTACTAAGTAC